TGTTTTTTTAAAAGTCAGCAACTACAGTATATGTGTTTGTACTCTTTGAAAGCAGTAGTGCACATCATGCCCGTGAATCGCACAGGAATCGCTCTGTGTGGTGAGATGTCAGCCCATTAATTTCGAATGTGCTTATATCGTAGCAAATTAAAAGTGGTGCATGCACTACTTTTTAATAGGGATGCATCGAAATTTCGGTGGCAGAAAAATTTGGCAGAAACGTTGGCCGAAATGAAAAAAAAAAAAAGCATTGTTACAGGTGTTGAAAAAACCCCCCTACCCCTAGCCGCCGCCCGCCCCTTGCCACCGCTCGGTAGTTCTCAGCCTTACCTGAGAAACCATCGATCTCGGCGCTGGGCATAGAGATGAGTGAAGGATAGATGGCCGCCACTCATCTCTATACCCTTGGAGGACTGGATCGATGTCCCTTCCCGTTCCGGTCATTTTTGTTTTTTTTTTTAAAGCACTAGATCAATGCTTTTTTTGATCCAATGCTTTACATTGCAGAGTAGACATGTGGGGTCTTATTGACCCCATATCTCTCCATAAAGAGGACCTGTCACTAATTATTTCTATCACAAGGGATGCATGCATTTCTTGTGATAAGAATAAAAGTGATTACATTTTTTTTTAAAGGAACAGTGCAAAAAAAAAAAATAAAACATTAATTTTTTTAAAAAAAGTTTAAAGTACCCCGTCCCCCCCTGTGCTTGCACGTAGTGGTGAAAGCATATGTAGGCCATGCCCACATATATAAACCCACGTATTGAAACCACACATGTGAGGTATCGCAACCAACGTTAGAGCAAGAGCAATAATGCTCGCACTAGACCTCCTCTGTAACTTTACACTGCTAACCTGTAGACATTTTTAAAGCATCACCCATGGAGATTTTTAAGTACTTCAGTGTCACACCATTCCACGAGTGTGCGCAATTTTAAAAGCGTGACATGTTGGGTATCTATTTACTCGCCGTAACATCCTCTTTCACATTTTACAAAAAAAATTGGGGATATATATTGCTTTTTTTTTAATTAGTGTATTTTTTTACCAAAAACATATATTCATTTTTAAAAACTGCGCGTTTCGGTTTTCAGCCAAGTGCATTTTGAATTTTCGGTTATGGCACCAGAATTTTCATTTTGGTGCACCACTACTTTTTAAACATAAATACCATATGATTAGATGCAGGCAAATGCATTGCATTTGTGACCTGCATTTGGGGCGTTGTTAACTTTCTATTGACATCCGCTGCAGATCGCATACAAAGTGCATTTTGAATGCAGTCTGAATTGCACAGGAAAGTGCAAACTTGTGCGATTCATGTGCAGGCATGGTGTGAACCGGCTCTAACGGCTCCAGATCTTGACTGCATTCCAACTGCAGCTTATCTTATGGGCATTATTCATACCATTACAGTGCAGGGGAGTGAAAAAAGTACAGCAAGCTGCATTTTTCCACACAGCAAACATGCAAAAATGCGCATAAGAGCCCAAGGAAAGAAGGAAGTGACCTCACAGCACAAATGTAGATGAAAAAACTTGCGTCAACTGCATGTAAATACGCATCAAATGTATTAATATTATTATTGTACAGGATTTATATAGCGCCAAGTTTGCGCAGCGCTTTACAATATAAGGGAGACAGTACACTTACAATACATTTCAGTACAGAAGGAATAGGAGGGCCGTGCTCGTGGAGCTTACAATCTAAAGGAAGGGGGAGGTGATACAAAAGGTGATAGCTGTGGGGGATGGTCTGGCAGAGGTGATTCAAGTACAGTTCTTAGGTGGAGGTGGGGTAGGCTTCCCTGAAGAAGTAGTTTTCAAAGATCTCCTAAAGGCAGACAGGGTGGGGGCTGACCGGACATGCTGTGGTAGGGAGTTCCAGAGGATGGGAGAGGCTCTGGAGAAGTCCTGGAGGCGAGCGTGGGAGGAGGTGATGAGGGAGCTAGAGAGGAGGATATCATGGGAGGAGCGGAGTGGGCGATTTGGGCGGTATCTGTGGATGAGGTTGGCGATTTAGCTAGGGGTAGTGTTGTGGATGGCTTTGTAAGCTGTGGTTAGTATTTTGAATTGTATACGTTGGGTTAGTGGAAGCCAGTGGAGGAATTGGCAGAGAGGGGCAGCAGTCGCTGATTGGTTGGTAAGGTGTATGAGTCTAGCAGCAGCATTTATAATAGACTGAAGGGGGGATAGCCTGTGTAACGGTAGACCAGTGAGGAGGGAGTTGCAGTAATCGAGGCGGGATATAACCAAGGCGTGGATGAGTTGTTTTGTGGTGTCACTGGTCAGGAAGGGGCGGATTTTGGAAATGTTCTGGAGGTTGAGGCGGCAGGATTTAGCCAGTGAGTGGATGTGGGGCCCAAAGGAGAGGTCAGAGTCTAGGATTACGCCTAGCACCCTGGCATGAGGGGAAGAACCAATGGTTGTGCTGTTGATCTTAATGGTAAAGTCATGAGTGGGGGATCGGGGAGGAGGAAATATTACAAGCTCAGTTTTTGAAAGATTGAGTTTAAGGTAGTGATGTGACATCCATGCTGATATGTCACTTAGTAGATTTGTGATACGTGAGGAGATTGAGGGGGTGAGCTGGGGAGTGGAGAGATAGATCTGGGTGTCATCAGCATAGAGATGGTATTGGAAGCCATGGGAGGTTATCAGTTGGCCCAGGTTGGAGGTATAGAGAGAGGAAAGGAGGGGCCCAAGAACAGAACCTTGGGGTACCCCAACAGAAAGAGGAAGTGGAGCGGAGGAGGAGGAGTTGTATGTGACACTGAAAGTGCGCTGAGAAAGGTAAGAGGAGAATCAGGAGAGAGCAGAGTAACGGAGGCCGATGGAGTGGAGTTTACTGAGGAGGAGCGGGTGGTCGACTGTGTCAAAGGCAGCGGAAAGGTCAAAGAGTATGAGTATGGAGTAATAGCCGTTGGTTTTAGCAGTTAGTAGGTCATTAGTGAGTTTTAGTAGGGCAGTTTCTGTGGAATGTTGTGGGCACAAGCCAGATTGTCGCGGATCAAGAAGGTTGTTGTCGTTTAGGTAGCAGTTCATACGGTTGTGAACAAAGCGCTCGAGAAGCTTGGAGGCAAACGGGAGCAGGGAGATGGTTCTTAAGTTATTAAAACAGGTGGGGTCCAGCGAGGGTTTTTTGAGGATGGGGTTAACCAGTGCATGTTTGAGTGGGGAGGGAAAGGTGCCCATGGAGAGTGAGAGGTTGAATATGTGGGTTAGAGAGTTTAGGATAGAGCAGAAGGGAGGCTGCAACAATCATGAGGGGACAGGATCCAGGGGACAGGTGCTGAAGTGGGCCTTGGAAAGGAGTTCGGTAACTTCCTTGGTGGTAACAGGGTCGAAGGAGGAGAGTGTAGTTTGGTATTGGGCCTGGTATGTTGGTTCGAGGAGGAAGCTTGACACTGGAGATCTCATCACAAATTGTGTCGATCTTCTTCTTGAAGTGACTGGCAATCTCCTGTGCAGTAAGTAAGTTGGTGGGTGGAGGCAGTGGGGGGTGAAGTAAGGAATTAAGGGTAGAGAAGAGTTGATGAGGATTGGATGAAAGGGTCTTGATGAGAGTGTTATAGTAGGTTTGCTTAGCAGCGTGGAGGCTGGAATTGTATTTGAGAAGAGCGGATTTGTAGAGGGTAAAGTTTTCCAGGGAATATTTTTACGCCATGCTTGCTCAAGAGTGCGGCTGCGTCTCTTGAGACTTCTGGTGTCATCTGTTTGCCAGGGTTGTGACAGGCGAGGCCTGGTTCTGCGTGTAGAAAGAGGAGCAAGAGCGTCCAGGGAGGATAATAGATAGTTGTTGTAGGCAGATGTGGCCAGCTCTGGGCAGGAGAGGGGTGCAATTTTATCATACAGGTGCTCAGTAGCAGAGTGAAGAAGGTCAGGGCTGAGGTGATGGAGGTTTCTACAGGTAACGGTTTGCTGGTTGGAGGCATGGGAGGTAGGAGGCAGGGAGAGTGTGAAGCTGATAAAGTTGTGATCAGAGAGAGGAAAAGGGGTGTTAGAGAAATTACAGGGAGTGCATAGGTGGGTGAATACAAGGTCAAGGGTGTTGCCATTAGAGTGGGTGGTGGATTGTGACCATTGTGTTAGGTTAAAAGAGGAAGTTAGGTAAATGTACATGAGAAACCGCCCAGTAGAAGCACTGTTTCTGGCATTGTGGCAGCACCCAGATATTACAGAGTTCCCCTTTAAACTGTAACATTTCTAACAGTATCTGCTTGCAAGTTTTTTGGCTCATCTTCCCTCCTCCCTTATTTCCTGTATTATGTTGTACCAGCTCGTAGCTGGGACCCTTATCTGCAGCTGCTGTCCAAGGTTATTCTGCAGAGTTTAGGAAGCCTGTTGAAAATATAGAAAGTGCAAGAGGAATCTATGCCTTGTGACGTAATCATTGGTATATACCAGGGGTAGGCAACCTGCGCCTCTCCGGCTGTTTCAGGACTACAAGTTCCATCATGCCTCTGCAAGTCATAGCTGTAACTGTGAGTTTTGTAATGTTGCAATGCCTCATGGGAAATGTAGTTCCACAACAGCTAGAGAGTCGCAGGTTGCCTACCTCTGGTATATACGCTTGTATATTCTAAGTTTTCTATAACTCACTTAGCAGATGAGAGCACAAGCCGTCTGTTGAGTCAAAACAGTGCTGTTTTTAATAAATCAGTTGTATTCCTTAAGCCCGAGTCCGGAGTTCTCTGATTTGCCAAAATTGCTACTACAGCATGAAAGAGCCCTAAACATGCTGGTAAAATCAAAATACACAGCTTTTTCTCTCTACACACTATCTGGTGAGAATCATTCAGTGACAGATATTAGTCTCCCTGTCCATACATATTCCTTATGCCCTGAAATCAGTCCCTTACAGATTACAGATACACAAGCTCGGCTAAACCTTAGTAGTTGTATGTGGAACAATAAAGTTTAGAAAGCTAACAATGAAAAAAGCCTATTGCGGCACTGGCAGCTCCCGGATTTGGTGACGAACGGGACGTCGTGACGTCAGGGCGCAGCGGCCGGGTATGGCGGCCTCAGCTTCCTGGTGATTGCAGCAGCCGGGAAGAGGAGGGGGGGAGGCGGCTGCGGCGCTTCCCGGTGTGTGCCCGGTGGAGGAGAGGAGCGAGAATGGCAGACTTTGATGAGATTTATGAAGAGGAGGAAGAAGATGAAGAGCGGGCCCTGGAGGAGCAGCTTCTCAAGTATTCCCCTGACCCGGTGGTGGTCCGAGGATGCGGGCACGTCACAGTGTAAGGCGGCCGGGGAAGAGGGAGGTGTGATAACGGGAAGGGACATTAGTGTGGTGGAGTGTAATCCGGCTGTGTTTGTGTATACAAAGTATAGGAAGTCATAGGGGGCTATTGATCAACTATGGAGCCGCTGTACATGGCAACCAATCAACTTCTATCTTCGGCTTCTTCAGTTGAGCTTTGAAAATGAAAGAGGGAAGCTGATTGGTTGCCATGCACCATATTCTGCCGGCTGCAGTCTGTGTAATTTCCTCCTCTGAGGAAATCCCACTGACTCCAGGCAGGAAATTGATGGTGGGGAGCTTTCATCTCACATTTCTAAATATGAAAGTGGATCTTAAGTCCTGCTCTGGACAGGCTCACCTTCCCCCATCCCCCCTCCAGTGCCGCTATTATTGTGCATGCACAAATGTGCTCCCGTGGCTACACACAGCCTTCAGGTCCTGACAGAGCCCATTGGCGCATCTACACACCCACAGGGGGGTTTCCATGAACGCGCTAAACCACGGAAGGCTTCAGTGTTGCCAGACTTTCGATTTGTGTGGGGAAACTTCATGCCTTTGCAGATTTGCAGCAGGACTGTCAGGGCCAAAGCCCCTCCAGCACATCTTCACGTATGTGCAGGGGGCGGAGAGAATCTCTGGCCTGAACAGCGCAAATATGTGTTTGTGTTTTTTAACAACATACTTTATATCCATTGATAAGGGAGAGGAGGCAGGGCAGCACAAGATATCACTCTTTCACATATGTGGTGGACTCTTCAGAGAGCGTTTGACAGGCAGCGAAGATACTTGCCTCTTTACCGCCTGCTTTAACTCCTTCATTTCATGGTTGCAGATTGCTCGTAGAACAACCCCATTCACTTGAATGGGCTGAGGTGTGGAGATGTTTGAAAAAAACTACTTGTCCAGGTGGTAAATCGGGGCGCCAATCTACTTGTCCCTCATGACAATCTATCCAGATAAAAAATAACTGTATTTAAATCCAGGCTAATTTTCAGCGCTCTCACACTTTGACAATTGCGCGGTGCAGCAACATTGTACCCATATGAAATTTTTAACTTTTTTTCACAGACAGGCTTTCTTTTGATGGTATTTAATCGCCACTGGGTTTTTTATTTTTTGCACTATAAGCAAAAAAAAAAGTTTTTCTTTGTTTTGCAAACAGGTATTTTGTCTCCTTCACTGATGTGCGTTGGTGAGGTAGCACTGATTGGAACTGATAGGCTGCACTGATGAGGTGGCAATGGTGGGCATTAATGAGGAGGCACTGATGATGCTGCATGGATATGCAGCAATGATGGTCACTGATGGGTGGCACTGACTGGCGGCACTGCTGGGAGGCACTGATCATCAGTGCCCTGACGATCAGTGCCGATCTGCTCTGTGATAGCTGCCAGTTATTGGCAGTACTTTACTCATGTTGTGACAGCGTGAGGAAAGTGCTGCCGATATCCGGCAACTGTATTTACACCTTGATTTGCTGTGTCTTTGTACACAGCTGATCACGTAATCAAAGCCGCTATGATTGGCCATTTACCTCATCAGATCTCTGGCTGTGCACCCCTGGGTAACAGCACTGTAGCTGTCATAGCTAAAACTGTAGCTGCTGACTTTTAATAAACACACACTTATCTGTCCCAGGGTCCAGCGATGTTCTCACCATTCTCCCCTTCTCTCCGCCACGGTTCTGGCATCTCAACTGTGGGCACGAGGTTGTGACCGCTTGCGGCTTCACAGTTTGGTGCCTACTGTGCATTTATGAGTCGCGCTGCACCTCCTAATTGGTCTGGCAGTTTCCTGGGACCTGTGAAAGTTCCCAAGAACTGTGGGAGGGAGGAGGGTGCTGAACTTCCAGCTCACTTTGCCACAGCGAACTGAGCTGGAAGTGGGAGCGGTTACCTGTCAAAAACAGGTATCCACTCCCCCCCCCCCCCCCAAGATGCCAAATATGGCAGTGGAGGGGGGGAGGAGGCGGCAAACAAGCGGAGATTCCGCTTTTGAGTGGAACTCCTCTTTAAGGCCTGAAGATTACACAAAACCCCCAAACATATATTTTCTGAAATCCGAGACCCAAGAGAATAAAATAGCGGTAGTTCCAATTTTTTATGTCACACGATATTATCAAAAGGTCTAGGAAATGCAAAATTTCAGTAAAAAATACACTTAAGTAAATTTTAGGGCAGAAAAAACAATAATCCAATTTTTTTGTAAAATATAAAAGACAAGCTTGCATCTAGTAAATAGATATGCAACATGTCAAACCTTAAATTTGCATTCGCTCATGAAATGGCAACAAACTTTAGTACCCTATATTTTCTATAGGTGATGCTTTCAAACCCCTTATAGGTCATCAGTTTAGTGTTATGGAGGAGGTCTGGTGCTAGAATTATTGCTCTCACTCTGGCGTGTGCAGTGATGAGCAATATGTGTATCGCAATCGTTTTCATTCGTTGGCGCCTGAGCACTTTTGCGCTTGCATTTAAAAATAACAAAAACTTTTATTTTTTGTTAACTTTTTTTTTTTCTTTTTATCTCATAGGGGAAAAAAAGTCCCTCGTGATAATTTTTGGTTACAGGTGCTCTTTTTTGAGACATGCAGGGTCTAAAAGACGGAGGCTGGCACCGTAGTGGGCTGTGTGGAAGCAATCTGGTGGCAGCACTGCTGCCCAAACGCTTCCACCTGACAGGTGAGCCCTGCTGCTTGTCCGCAGCGGGGCTAAAGGTAAAAAAAAAAAACCTACCTGCCTGGCTCCCGGAACTGCATGTCCCGGGTGTCATGCGATGTGAATTGCACATCCCTGATGGGTCACATTTGTTGGACACCAGATGTACCAAAACTAGCAGTGGATATAATTTTGTCCACAAAGCATTGCAGCCACAGCATGTGTACACCCCTGGTTGCTGACTCTGCAGCTAAAGGGTTAGTGGTTCTGGGGGAGGGAAAGCAGCTTTATCACCTCCCAACCTCACATGTGAATGAGCTCTAAAGTTGCAATGGCAGCCAAATAGGGCTGTACGCATGCCACAAGGCTTTGTTTCTGTGCCACAGCAAAACATATACCGCTTATCAAATTTAGTGGACAGTATCACCATCGAATGTGACCCTTAAAGTAAAGTAAAGTAAAGTTAAGTAAATGGGGCTGGGCGGCAACTGTGTAATTCATGCAGTTCTGGTGTGAGGTTTTCAGGGGTGTGAGGAGCTGAGGTATTCTCTCCCAGCAGCCTGCCAAGTGTACTCTGAAATGCAATATACTGCAGATTGCTTTTCAGGGATGCAGCAAAGGCTGCTACAAGTGTGAATGAGCCCCAAGGCTCCATGCTCAGTAGCTTTTTTTTTTTTTTTTTTTTTTTTTTTTAGCCCCTAGAAGCTATTAGGATAACACTATTTAGCTTCTAGGAGCAAAAAAATGCCATGTGTCCATGCACACTACTTTACTATAGGCTATTCTAAGAGCAGGAAAAAAATGTTCTTGTAGAGTTTTTTGGAGCTTTTTGCCAGCAGAAAAAAAACCCCTAAATGCTACTAAAACAGACAGGCAGCTGAGTATAAATTGTCGGAAAGCGTGGCAGACAGGCAGCTGAGTATCCGTTATCAGAGAGTGTTGCAGGCACCTGAGTTTAAGTTGGCAGAGAACAGGGCAGACAGATGCCTGAGTGTAAATTTCTGGAGCGCATAGCAGGCCAGACACCTGATAATCTATTATCAGAGAGTGTTGCAGGCACCTGAGTGTAAGATGACCAGAGAGCATGGCAGGCAGGCAGGCAGGCATCGGAGTGTAAGTTGGAGGAGAATGTTGCAGGCATCGGAGTGTAAGTTGGAGGAGAATGTTGCAGGCATCGGAGTGTAAGTTGGAGGAGAATGTTGCAGGCACCTGAGTGTCAGTTGGTGTAGGACAATGCAGGCACCTGGTTGTACCACTGGGTTTACCTTTTGGCCTTATCTAGCCATGTTGTATTTGAATCTGCCATAAAATATCACAGGCTAGATGCTGCATCCAGCCATAGTAAGGCCTCGTTTTGGCTTGGGATTTGGGGGGGGTTGGTGTAATACACATTGTTGAGTCTCATTTTTACCACCCTCAACTGCTTTCTCAAGCTGCAGAGGCATCTTCTCTATGAATTAGTAAATCTCAGAGTTATTAGATGCAGCCACTATCTGGGTATTCTGACAGCTTGGGTGCCACAGCAACTAAATATAACCAAACTGTGTAGTATAGATGGAGGAATCAAAAGAAAATCGAGCAGTTTATGGCTAGCTTAAACCGTACATACATTGCATGTCCTTTTGTGCAAAAACATTTTAAAGAAATTATCTGTTAGTGTATACTTCCCTCTTGGCATGTCATGTAGCAGCAGATAAGTACATTGTCCGTCTGATTGCTAAAAGCAGGCCGAAATCAGCCAAATGGTTTAATCTATGATGAACAAATATATATATCCCTTCTATAATGTAAAACAGTTGTTTGGAAGGAAAGTTAGTTTGAGATTAGACTGTTATCTGACAAAGATGACATGAAATACATCTGCTTCTTTCCAGCATGATAGTTGATACATTTTACAACTCGTTCACCCTGTATGTGTTAAGGAGTGTTTTGCAATGTGGGGTAATGCAGCAAGTCAGTTAGAGCTGTGCTCACATATATCCTCTGGTGTAGAAATATTGATGTGAATTATGATGTGCATTAAAGCCAAACTCCAGGAAACCTGCTGTGGGAGTGCACCTGCACTGCAGGGGTTAACTGCTTCATCAAATCCTCTAGACATAAATTAGTACTGAAAGGGAGGATTGTTAGGCTTCTTGAAGTTAAGCTTTTGCATTTAAAAAATAAAAAAATATATTGTAACAGGCTAGATACACAATTTTAACTTTCCGCCTGACAGTGCGAGTCCTTAACATGCCTAATGTAAATGGAGAGTTTAAAGCTCCATGCACACGGGGCGTTTTAATAACACTGGTAGCGTTAGCTGTGTAAAGTCACATTAAAAATTTGATTTTTT